AAATTAAGCGAAATTAATCTTAAGTTTTAATCTTGTTAATTTGTTGCACAACTTCTTCCATGTCAATTCTATTAAGAGGGAGAAAAAAAAAATTAAGTAGAGTTATTTTTTTTCTCCTTCTTAGAGTATTGAAATGCATATAATATGATTTATAAATTCAATTTTCTTTTTATTTTTTATTCCATCCCCATACTCTGTATATGAAGCAACAAATTAGTTGTTTTTGGTTTCAGTTTTTATTCCAATAAATCGTTGAACATTGATCATTTACTGCATTAGGCTAACATAATATAATTTCAGGAGGGTAGCCAGTACTGTCCTACATATGTTCCTGGAGCACAGAAATGTCCACCAAGTAACATCTTTTATCAATATCAATGCTGTGGAACATTGAACAAAGATTGTTGCTTTAAATTACAGGTTCGTCTCACAGTTTCAATTGAACACGCAATATTTACATGTATTTTTGTTTCTTACATTGTTCTGTTAAACTGTTTTTTTTTTCTTTTAATCACTTTTCCCTCTTTCCTGGGATCTGAATTTCAAAAATTTTTTGCTGTTTAACTGAAGAAAAAAGAACTAAAGAACTGCTGAAGAATACTATGTTTTTTTCTTATTAGGCTAGTAATGCTTTTATTTTATTTATTTATTTTTTTCTGTTTCAGATGTGGGTGTACATTGTGCTCGGAGTGATTGCATTTCTTATACTCCTTTCGTTGGCCATCTCGCTTATACGTTGCCTATTTTGCAGGCACTAAAAATTTATTTCTTCGTTCCGAGTCTCCGTTTTCTCTAAGCTTTCTTCTTTTCCTAACCCTTCACCCCTCCCCCTTTTCCTCCTCTCGTAATGACTTCTCACCCTCATTCCTCAGTTTCTCTTCAGTCTACTCCTTGCCTCCAGATTCTTCAGCGATCTTCCAAAAGGAAAAAACTGGAAAAAGTGAACCGGAAAAGAAAAATTAGAAATTCCCCCAACTGTCTTATTTTTGTAATTTGTAAATGAAAACCTGTAAATTATTTTAGTCTATCCTCATTTTTTTCCATCTTCCGATCTAGCATTTGCGTAATATCATGATATGTCGTAATACAAATAATAAGAGTAATAATAATACATTAATCCTTCAAGATCAACGTTAACAAATCGTCATCGTCATCGTCATCATCATCACTGTCATTATCATCCTCGTCACCATCATTAGCATCATCAGCGTAATCATCATCATCGTCATCACTATAATCGTTATAATGGCAAAAATCATCCGTTACACCTGCCCGTTAAGCATTAAAATTGTTGGCTTAAGACATATGATCTGTGGTTGCAAGAAACCAAAAGGAAAAGAAGAAGAAGAAAATGTTTTTCTAGCTTTATTTAATTTTTTTTGTCAAGTTGAATGCTTTTTATTTAACTGCCATTTTTTTTGTATGTTTTCAACCTGCATTTTTGTTTTGATACTGTTAAAAGTCAACAATGATCATTAGCATCATTAAAAGAAAAACATCGGTTATTCACTCTCAGCCGTTTTTTCAGCTACCAAATCTTTCTTGTATTGTTCTGGTGAGAAGAATGCATATCATATCAACTGAAGCATTAGTAGATATATTTCACACCTAATCAAAGCTAAAATAAAAGAAAAATGGAAAATCCAACTCAACTACGATATGACGTTTTATTAAGAACAGCTGGTTAACGACGGTTTTTTTGTTAGGTTTTATTCCGTCATTATTTTTATGGGTATTTAAAAAATTTTTACACTGATTTTCTTCTCCCCCACTTCATCTCTCATTTTATCTTGTTTATTTATTTATCCGAGTTTTTTACGATTAGTTCATATGAACTTCCAGAAAATGATGGTGATGGAGATAATGGGAAAAAACAATAATAATAATAATAATAATAATAATAATAATAATATAATAATAATAATAATAATAATAATAATAATAATAATATAATAATAATAATAATAATAATAATAATAATAATAATAAGACAATAATAATAAATTAATTTTGAGATTTTTCGGAATCAGTAATAATAATAATAATAATAATAATAATAATAATAATAAGACTGGTCTCTTTTTTCTCTTAGTACTCCAATGTTAATCATTCTCAAAAATTTGATTGATTTTTACTGAGTCTTGTTATTAGGCGATGCTTTTTTGCTACCTATTTGTTTTCACTGAAAAAACTTACGTTCACTGCTTATGGCAAAGAAAGAAAAAAAAGAAAAACGAGGAAAAAATGAATACTAATTTAACAATAATTCAATTTTGGGATTGAAAAGATGAGAGGGGTGAAGTGACACTGCGGACGAAAGGGAAATGGCATAAACAGCCAAGAGCTAACAAAAAGAAATAGAGTAGAATCGATGGCGGCAAGTTTGGTATTTTGGCACTCAATTAAAAAGCAAATTTTAAAGGTTGAACTACCGTTGATTCCTACACTAAAGGTATACGGATTCTGCAAAATCTACTGGAGTGTTAATGTAGGACAGCTGTTAAAAAGGGGTGATCAAAAAAGGTAGTTGTTCGGTGGTCAGCAATTGGACTGCAAAGGCTACAAAATAAAAAATACATTAAAAAAGTTGCCAAGGTGATGATCCTTCTATTTTCCAATCCAATTTTTTTTTCTTGTTTTCTGACAAGTAACGCAACTATGGATACTTGTGTGTGTATTTTTGAACGGAGGATGAAGGGTAAAGAAAGTTTAGAATAAAATAGTCGTTAAAAAAAAAAAAAAAAA